TAACATTTACCATCAGACCCCTCCTGACGTAATATCTTACATTTTTGGTCCAATAATTAAAAGAAAACACTTTTATTTTATTTTATTTTTCCTTTTGTCTTTCTTTTCATAATTTATTTATTTATTTAAGATTTCTACAATTATTTCCTTAGTTTATTACCTAAATATTTTAACAGTTCAAATAAATTTTAAAAAAATATATTTAAAGGCTCATATAATATTATTTATATATTTAAAAAAATGAGTTTTACACGGTTATTTTCCGTTGAGTTTATTGATCAGATACTTATATTCTTAATTAAAATCATATCAATTGCATAAACTGACAGACGCCAAATATATCTAAACAATGTGATAACAAAAAAGTAACTTGATCGATTACGTTAAGCAATTTGATTTAAATTCAATTTTATATAACCCAAGTAATTATGAAAGTAAATTTAATATTAATATAAGTTTTTATTCAAATATGTACNTATATAAAGGTATAATAACATGTTTGTTTGTTTTACTAAAAGTAATGAAATATCGTTTTCAAGACCAATGATTGATGATGAAGTTTTTATTAACCATCAATTCATTAAATTTGGTTCCATGCATGTAAAGACATCAGTCTTAGAACAAGCAAATTATGTATCAGAAAAGTAACATATTTTCGTCTGATTCATATTTCAGATAACATACTTTTAAAATGTAAATTCAAAAGTATAAATGAATAATTTAATAGTGTGTCGTAGATAAAATTTGACATGTTTTTTTTAAATTACGCTTTTTATTCAATATTATTTTTGGATAAATATTTTATCTATACTATATTATAAAGCATTTGACAAAAACTCTTAAAAACCATTTTTTATGCACGAAGTACTGTTTATTGATGCATATTACTTAAAATTYAAATTACAAGTAAATTGTGGATAAGTACAACTTATTAAAGCTTCATATTTGAATTCGTGTAACTAACTGCTGATAAACATAATCAAATATTGGATAAATATTTCATTTTAAATATAAAAAATCTAAAATATAATTAGGATAATCATTGAGTTCTAACAAAATAATTAGTTATTATCTTTATATAAAAATTATGTTATTAAACCTAAAGTAAATTACTTCGTTACTAACCCTAAACTAAATTATAATAAAAAATTAAATTAAAGAAATTATACAAAAAACAAGAATTTTAAAAAAAAAAAATTTGATGCTGATATCAATATTTTATGATATTTTCAAATTTATATTTTATTAAAAAATAAAAAAAATTATCGCGTTTTTTCAAAACCACATAAAATCGTATTATATCAACATAAAAAAAGAATAAAAAGATATGTCTCGATGCATAGCACGAATACCCCTAGTAAATTATAAATGTTTGGATACATCTTTAAAAATATGTATTTTATACTATAAATTATAGTAAAATATAGTTGTTGATTACTTAAATGATTATTTTATATAGATAAAATAATAATTTTTTATTTTATAATAAAAAAATACATATTTAATATGAAAATAGATATTTATTTATATATATATATATATAAATGAAAAATAAAAATGATGAAGACTACAAATTTGCTAAAATTGGAAGATGCGAAGCGAGCATGGTCTGGTGGGGAAGCCTCCAAACGAGGGAGTTTGGATCACTTGCCACTTTGTCAAACCCTTTTTCAGTTTTCACATGTTTTACTTTCTCAATATTCCTATAACTACCCCTCTTCTTTTGTTTATTGACAGTTTTGGTCCTCTTTCCCTTCATTCTTTTCATACTTCACCTCTTCTTCTTTTCTTTTCCCCTTTTTTTTTTGTTTGGTTCAAACCACCATCTTTAAGTTGATGGGTTAAAGTAGACCTCTGCCATTTGGGGACCTGGTGGAGTGACAAATGAAGATCTGAGAAAGTCGTTAGAAGAACAAGTCTATCTTCTAAATGATATGTATATCATGTTCTCTTTTATCATTCAGTTATTTAGAATACCAAATGATTGGAGTATAGTTATCGTAATTCCTTTATATGTAACATTGTGTAAAATCAATGGTTTTTCGTCTTAGATTTCAGTTCACGAGTTTTTGTGATGACAATGTTATATATTAGAAAATGGGAACCGGGTTTTCGTTTGTCAATCGTATTTCAACTGAATTATATATTTAAATATTCTTTCTAGAGCTTTTTGTTTCAGAGATGAGGTGAATTACCCTTTTATCAACGCAAATTCCAAATAGAGTAGACATGTACATAAATAACCCTCAACGGTTATTTAGCTCATAGGTAATTTATCAAGTCGCATGTTGTCTCATGAAGTAAGAGGTCTCAGTTTGATTCATTTGGATGCTCTCGATCTTCAATGTGGGTCACGTTAATCTTTCATAAGATGGTTTTATTCCTTTCAAGCATATACGATGTTGGACAAATACCATGTAAGTTTCATCAACCAGTAGTCTGATACCACAAATTATTAAAAAGAAAATGCATTCACATAAATACCATTTCGATTTTCAAAGTCAAGTCTTTGTATATGGTGGTGTAAACACCTTTTGTAATCGACAAGAAATTGGACAATTTCCCCATTTGAAAGCTAAGCATGACCCATTACAAAGAAACGTGTCTCCTTCAATTTGACCGTACATTTAACTTATTCATATTGAGCATCAGCACCAAACAGAAACATCTTGGAAGTCAAATTAGAGGGTGTTTCGTTAGTGTATTAGGGGTGAGTAGGCATGGCAAAGGGGCGAGGATGGGGCAAGTTTTCTAATCCCTAGCCCCCACCCTGGTTTCTATGAACCTCACCCGGCCCTGGTCCTTGGCAGGTACGAGGATTAATATCTCGTTCCCGGTTTATTTTCTGGTCAAACCCCAATCATCGTCCCCAGTCAAGACTTACTTTTAGAAAATAAATAATATATATATATACATATATATTATATAAAATTATATACTGGGTATGGGGCGGGACGGGAGATACGCTACCCGGCACCGATGCCAACCCCGATTTGAGTCTACAGAGGATCCCCGGTCCGGACCCGTTTTAGCAGGGAATCCCCGTCTTCATTCAGGTCAGGTGAGCCAGGTTCCCCACCAGGTCAGGGCAAATCACCATCCCTAAAGATGAGGAATGTAAATGAAAATAAATACTAATGTTTAGTTCAATATAATGGGATAAGTGATTATTTAAAAGTGGATAAACATCCATTAGCTATTAATTTGTGGGGAACAACTTTCCATTTCCATTACCAAGAACCAAGCATCATGCTAATTATTTTAGTTATAAGATAGACAAGATATTAATTTATCTGATTTTATTAATGTCTGAACATTAAGAATATTAATAAGGAATAGTGAGACCATATTTTTTTTCGTTGTAGACTTGTAGTGCAACGATAAAAAAAAACACCAATAATTTACTTAACAGATCCAATAAAAATTCACTTGTGGTCACGGAGGTTCAAATGCGGTGATTCGGGGTTATCTGCAAAGCAGGTGGTCGTCTTGAGATTAGTCGACTTGCATAGCAGATTGAATATCCAAGTTAATAAAAAAATTGGAAGGATTGAAGGCAATTATGACAACTTGCTAATTATAGTAAGGAGAAGATAGGTCAAGGTTCATTTCATACTCAAAATAGAAATAAAAAATAGCTTGTAAGGAAGAGCATAAAAAAATTGTAAGATGGGGTCTTTGAAGATTTAAGTTGACTCTCAATTTCACCATCCCTTAATTGGCAAGAAATCTCAATCACAACTTTACACTTCTTCATAAATTACCAAGCAAAAAAGGCAAATCACACTTTCTCCCCCCTTTGCTTTCATCTATATTCACTTTTGGTCCTTGTAATTGCATCGCACTTCTTTAATGTTTAATTTGATATTCGCCAATATAGCAACGGAAAATTAGAATAAAAAGCAACATGCTTTAACTTTAGTATTTGGACTTCGAAAACCGTTAACAAAACTGGTTAGTGCTAACGGTACATAAAAACCTGACAACTCAAAATGTAATGAATTGGGTTGGGTTACATATTGAAAAACGGTTGAATAGATTATGATTTTCTATATGAAATTAAGTAGTTGGGTTGGGTTATTCAGGTGATTTTAACCTGTCAACCTCAACCCACGTGCACCCCTGACTAGGGGTGCTCAAAAACCCGACCAACCCAACCCAACGCGAAATAACTCAACCTAAAGCAACTAGATGTCTAATCGAGTTGTAACCGTATGTATTGGGTTACTATTATTTGAACCCAACTCAACCTGATGAACCCGATATTCTTTATTTCTTAGATTTAATATGATTGTTGAATTTCTACTAGTATATACATTAGAAAATTACACTACCATTTACACTCTTCATATATATGTTCAGTAACTGTGAACATGTATATGTAAATTGAGAAAATTAACTGAATGTGATATACGTAAGAAATATGAATAAGTTGTATCAAATGGTTGATGATGAAAAAGAAATTATGAGTAGATAAATAACATATTCAAGATTAGAAGAATATTTTAATATACCAAAGTATCAACCCGACCAACCCGTACGAGTTGGGTTGGGTTGGGTTGAGTTGGTTTAAGATTTTTCCAAACCGTAAGCATTGGGTTGAGTTGTTCAAATGTCTTCAACCCGACCAACCCAACCCATGAGCACCCATACCCCTGACTACCACGATTCCCATTTGTAACAATCAACTTTATAGCACGTTCTTAAACCCGAATGGAAAACTTCTTTTAGCAATCTCCGAAATAGGAGGACTAAATTGAAACACAAAAGAAATAGAAGGGTAAAATGTAAATTCTCCATTAATCTAAAGGGCAAAAGATTGAAAGATACCCACCCCCATTCCAAAAAAAAAAGGTTATAAAAAATAATTAAAAAATAGCCTCCACCTCCATAGTTCATGTGCCATTGTCCACCAACCTCTCTCCTCTCCCTTTCACAAACTTATTAACTCCTTTTCTGTACTCTCCCATCACCTTCATACCCATCTCCATGTGATCTTCTTCATCTCTCTCTCTCTCTTCCTTGATGATCATTCTTGAAGTTAAACCCTCGAATTGATCATTTCTGTTGCTTGAAATGGACAGAAATTCAATCCCACAAGGTCTCACTCCAGATGAATTCTCTGACCTAAAACCCTTAATTAATGCCTACCACATGTTCGACAAAATGCCAAACACATGCACCTCCCTCGTCACGCAGCGCATCGACGCCCCCGCCCACGTGGTCTGGCCTTTGGTTCGCCGATTTGATAACCCACAAAGGTACAAGCATTTCATCAAGAGTTGCAGCATGATTGGTGACGGCGGCGTCGGGAGTATCCGGGAAGTCACCGTCATCTCCGGCCTACCAGCCTCCACCAGCACCGAGAGGCTCGAGATTCTCGACGATGAAAAGCACATCTTGAGTTTTCGTGTCGTGGGTGGAGAGCATCGGTTGAATAATTATCTTTCTGTTACTTCTGTGAATGAATTCAAGAAAGACGAAAGGGTTTACACCATTGTTTTGGAATCTTACATTGTTGATATACCAGATGGGAATACGGTGGAGGATACCAAGATGTTTACGGATACAGTTGTGAAATTGAATCTTCAGAAGCTGGGTGTGGTGGCCATGGCTTCTCTGCATGGTAATGGATGATTGTCATCACGGCGGCGACGGTTGGCGGTAGCGGTGGTGGTGGGCCAGGTGAGGATTCTACCACCCAAAAAATCAAGATTCTGATGGGGTGGGTGTTGTAGGTTTAATTAATTAGTAAAGCCTTTTTGACTTCTTAATTTCTTTAATTGTTGAATCAAATAAATTTGGGAGATTTAGTATTAGAAATTAGTTTTTTATTAGTATTATATTCACCATCACTTCTCTCATTTTACTTTTTTTTTTTTTTTTGCGTTACGAAAGGAGTCAGCTCACTAGCATCGATTAATACACCAAATGGTCATGAATTGTTAGAGTTCTTCTAGATGAACCTTCATGATTACAAAGGCTTTGACAACACATATATTTGTTGTCAACCGTTCTTGATTTTGACTTTTACGAATCAAATTGTGTATAANATTTCTTTAATTGTTGAATCAAATAAATTTGGGAGATTTAGTATTAGAAATTAGTTTTTTATTAGTATTATATTCACCATCACTTCTCTCATTTTTTTTTTTTTTTTTTTTTGGGTAACGGAAGGAGTCAGCTTACGAGTATCGATTAATCCATCAAATGGTCATAAATGGTTAGAGTTATCGTAGATGAACCTTCATGATTACAAAGGCTTTGACAACACATATATTTGTTGTCAACCGTTCTTGATTTTGACTTTTACGAATCAAATTGTGTATAATTTGGAAATTGTATATTCAAGATTCGAATCCAGTTCAAGGGTTGCTATCTGATTAATTTAACAGATATATAAATAAATAAAAATGAAACTAAACGCTTTAGACCCACATACGTTATCGAGTTTTAAGGACCAGATTTGTTGGTTCAAAGCATAAAGTTTTGCTCTTTATGTAAATTTTGGAATACCGTTTCTAAGTAACATCTATCGTGGTACAAAAGTTCTTATAAGTGGTTTTAAGAATATTCATTAATTGGATTTTAATATTTTAAAATGTACAATAAACCAATCAAATTTGTTAAAACTGATATAATTGTTCTTTTCCCACATCCGAATTATTGCGTGCTAACAACAAACTCTTGGATATTTCTTTGTGTGTATTTGGGACATGCAATTCTGTATCGGGAATTAAGAAAAGGTCAGTATACATACGTATACGTATGCAACGCTAGGCTAAAATACAAACGCTCTAACCTTATGTCATGGTCATTAACTAAAACAATTCGGAAATGACGCCGTTTTGGGTTTTACGTATTTAAAACGCCTACTCAACTATTTATATGCGGGTTTTTTGATTTCGTAATTGAAAAAATAAATAATAATAATAATAATAATAATAATAATAATAATAATAATAATAATGGTGTGTAAATCCATTGAAAACAACATGGAAGACGTAAAAGGTTGGTAAAGTTGAGACTTGTGATCAAAACCCTTCCAAACATGTGAACGTGGATGGGTAAAAAAAATTAAAAATCATTTTTTATATGCATAAAATACTGTTTATTGATTTATATTACTTAGAATTCAAGAGTACAACTTATTAAAACTTCATTTTTAAATTCGTGTAACTAACTGCAGATAAACATAATCAAATACAGGATATACATCTATTTTTAATATAGAATATCTAAAATACAATTAAGATAATCATTGAGTTCTAACAGAATGTTTAAAACTTTATAATTGAGTTGGATTAATTTATAACGGGTTGGATTGGGTTGAGATTTTTTCAAAAATTTATAATTGAGTTGGATTATTTAAATGTCAGAAGTCGGTTTAAACTATTTTGATAGTCTCGACATCATCTTAGTAGATATATAATCGATATTTATAGATTTATAACATGTGATGAATTTTAACGTACATTTGGTGACCATCAAATTGTTATCAAACGCATCGAGTTTGTAAAAAGAAATTGCAAAAAATAGACTTGTGCAATTTGATCATACAGTTTGAAGAAGAAAACAGAACTTGTGCAGTTTGTTCATGCAACTTGAAGAAGAAAACAAAACTTGTACAGTTTGTATATACAATTTGAAGAAGAAAACAAAACTTGTGCAGTTTGTATATTCATGTGCATCCATCAAGTTTGTTGAGCGTGTCCAAATGCACCAACAAGACGACATAATTTGTGCAGTTCAGCATGGTAGAACACTAAACAGCCATTAACTCCTCTAACCCTTATTTCTTTTCTATACGATGCTCTCGATAGGTTCTTGATGACGGTTATGTGGACACTTTTCCTGTTATCATTGATGATTACGATGAAGACCTCGTTAATGATACCGTCATTTACCTCCATAGAAAACATATAACTTAGAGCATCTTCAGTGGGGGTTCTTATAAGAACCTCCATCTTTTTTGCACTTTTTGTTGACACCTCGTTTTCAAAACTCATCAAATTAAGAACTCTCCTAACAGTGCACAATGATAGTTCTTATAAGAACATTTTTTTTTGTGGATCCCACTGCTATTTTCAATATTAATAATAATTATAAAATCAAGAAAATAAAATAAAAAAACTAGAAAAATGTCACTTCTCACAAACTTCATGGTAAGAACTATGGTTTTTGTACAAGAATCTGGAGAGGATAAGGTTCTTATAAGAACTCTCTACAACAGTAGTTCCTACAAAGCACTTCACTTTTTGCTAATGAGGTCGTTTCATTGCAACATTCTTTTAGAAAAGACATCCGTCAAACAAAAATGGGGCTTTTTGTGACTTCTCCATTCCTATAATAAAAATGTCATCCTTTTATTTTCCATCTCTCCTCCATACATAATCGAAGAATGGAAAAGATACACAGCATTAATCATTAGTCATTCATCTTAGACAAACACTGCGTACAGTGAGTAGTACGAATTCCTCTTACAAGGAACTCAATATTTACATCTGGAGGTGTTTGGTGAACGTAGTGCAATGGATTTTATTGTTCTGTTGCATTGTAAGACATCTAACAGACTACAAAATCTCCACTCCTTTTCTTATTTGAACAAGGGTATCACAAAGATAATATCGTAAGTAATGAGGTGCTTCTGAGCGTACAGACTATTTGAACAAAACTCACTTGCACTTGTAACAAATTGCACTCTTCAACTCCATGTCTCATGGCAATAGGAATTCCTATTACGTATATTGCACTAGTTTCCATAGGTATGTCTTCGAGTCACGAGGATCTTTGTGTATCCATGTATGCATCTTAGTAGGGGTGTATAAAAAACCGTCAATCCACAAAACCCGCCTAACCCAACCCAGTTAAATTCAACCTGCCAAACCGCTAATTAGGAGGGTTGAAATTGGATTAGCATAACTGAACCCAACCCAAACCGCCAACCCGCCGCTAATATATATTATTTTTATAAAATTATGTATATATATATGATATGAATTCGTTTTCAAATACAACCCATCGCATTTGTACAACCAATGCAACCCAATAAATTGAGATATTTATGGAAATGATGAGAGTTCATTTATTATGATTTGAATATTTATGGAAGATGAATATGGTTCATTAATTATGATCAATACTTTATATTATGAAACAATTAAAACTTCTATAAAATCACATATTAATCAAATGAAATGGACGGTTGAGATTAGGTTGTATTGGTTGCACAAATGTCAAGAGTTGTATAATAACCAACCTCTATATGATATTTACAAAATTATAATTTACAGCCAAAAAATATGTATATTTTTTAGTCTAATGTACAACCCAAAAATTAAGGTAGTGTTTCGGATTGCTTATAAAACCTTTTTATCGACTTATTCCGGTGTGTTATAAGTCATTTTGAATGTTTGGATGGAAAGAAAAAAAAATTGTTTATACCGGTGTCAAACCAGTAATAAGCAGTTTTTGATAAGTCAATCATCTCTAATTTATCAAATTCAACTTATTAACAATTTACCTTTTAACCCTTTTCTAATAACCGTTTTTCTATACCCTTAACTCGTACGTCTACCTTCTCCATCACAAATACACACCTCCTTCACAGGGTCCACAAAACCAGAAATTGACACTGAAACTTTTGAAATTTGATTCCAAGGCTTGAGAATTTAGATATATATTTTTTTATGATTGTAACAACTAATGACTTTGTTGGGTATATTTTTAGTATTACTTATCAGATTTTATTCGGCAACTTTATGAATTTTAGTAACCCACCCCACCCTAACCCGTAAGGGTTGGTCTGGGTTATACTTTTGAATATGTTGGGTTGGGTTGAGATTTTCCAAACCACATAATTGGGTTGGGTTGTAAATATGTCAAAAACCGTTCAACCCAACCCACGTACACCCTTACATCTTAATTTTCTTTCTTTCAAATTTTTTAATCATCTCCCGATGTAATCAATAACAGTTTGATAGTCGCTAATTACTAGATACTAGAAGCGTACTCGCGCAATGCAGCGAGATACATCGTGATTTTAATATTTCATTTTATTCTTTATCTCAGTCGATGTTATAATATGGCTTTATGTGATTTTGAGAAAGCGA